CCATTTCTAAGCAAGCTCCACAAGCTCAGACGTTTGCACTGGGCCAGGGGTCATTTAAAATGGAGTGTGGCAAAATGGAAGACTGTTCTGTGGTCAGATGAGTCACCATTTGAAGTTCTTTATGGAACACTGGGACGCCATGTCATCCAGACCAGAGAGGACAAGGATAGCCAAAGTTGTTATCAACGCTCCGTTCAGAAGCCTGCATCACTGATGGTATGGGGTTGCATGAGCGCTTGTGGCATGGGCAGCTTGCATGTCTGGAAAGGCACCATTATTGCAGAGAACTATGTTCAGGTTCTAGAACAACATATGCTCCCATCTAGACGTCATCTCTTTCAGGGAAGACCCTGCATTTTTCAACACAATAATGCCAGAACACATTCTGCAACAATCACAACATCATGGCTACGTAGGAGAAGGATCCGGGTACTGAAATGGCCAGCCTGCAGTCCAGATCTTTCACCTATAGAGAACATTTGGCGCATCATAAAGAGGAAGGTGCGACAAAGAAGGCCCAAGACGATTGAACAGTTAGAGGCCTGTATTAGACATGAATGGGAGAGCATTCCTATTTCTAAACTGGAGAAACTGGTCTCCTCTGTCCCCAGACGTCTGTTGAGTGTTGTAAGAAGAAGGGGGGATGCCACACAGTGGTAAAAATGGACTTGTCTCAACGTTTTTGGGATTTGTTGATGCCATGAAATTTAGAAACAACAGATTTTTCCCTTAAAATGATACATTCTCTCAGTTTAAACTTTTGATCTGTGATTTGTGTTCTATTCTGAATAAAATATTAGATGTTGGCACCTCCACATCATTGCATACTTTTTTGGAATCCGGTTTGTACTTCAGTCTTCAAACACATCACCCTATTTGACACTCTCTTCACCTCTACTACATTCTTTGCCAACTCCTCCTTCAGGACCACCACTACTCCATTTTTCTTTCTATCCACACCATGGTAAAACAGTTTGAACCCTGATCCAATGCTGCGAGCCTTGCTGCCCTTCCACTTGGTCTCTTGGACACATAAAACATCTACCTTTCTTCTCTGCATCATGTCAGCCAGCTCTCTACCTTTGCCTGTCATTGTCCCACATTTAGACTTGCAACCGTCAGTCCTACATTCTTGACTTTCCTCTTCTCCCTCTTGTCTCCTGACACGTTTCCCTCCTCGTGGTCTTCGACTAACAGTAGCACAATTTCCGCCGGCCCCCTGTTTGTCAAAAGCACCAATGGCGGTCATTGTTAACCAAGGCTTTGACTGATCCGGTATGAGTTCACTTTGATGAACTCGCATTATAGTTTTGGCAAAAAAGTGTTTTATGCCAGATGCCCTTCCTGACACAACCCTCATTTACCCAGGCTTGGGACCAGAACCAGAGATACATTGGCTTGTGCTCCCTAGTGGCTGGTTTTCAGGAGTAACTTTAAAGGAGGCAAAATTTTATGCAAACAATAATTTTACACTCCGTTTTTTTAATTGGTATTACTTAGTAGAAATATGTTTTCACATTGTCACTGAATAATATTTATTTATTCATTTATTTATTTTTCAGAAAGGCCTATTTATATTGATCACAGCTGTTTTAAGACAGCAATAAAAGCATTAAACATCCAACGGAAGAGGGAATCTTTTATTGACACTGTACGTCTTGCCCCCCACCCCCTCCATGTAGACTTTGCTATTGGATGAAATAAAAAATAACCCCTTAATTTTTTTCAGATGTACACGTTTGTTAATTTACATAGTTCTTACCTTGCTGCTGCATGTTCATTTTCTTTTTAAGTTTAGATTTAATAAGTGATTACAAACTATAAAAAAGTAACGTAACATGATTGTATGCATAGGAGTAGGTGGGACTTAAAGCCCTATATCCCTAGTGGGCTGATTATGGTTAAAAAATACAACATCAATTACACAAAGTAATACATGAGGCAGTTGTAGCTGAGTGGTTAGAGCAGTCGGCCTCCAAAGAGAGAGTTGGGAGTTCGAATCCACCAGCAGTCACATGCCGAAGTGTCCCTGGGCAAGACACTGAATCCCTTGTTGTCTCTGATGTGTGTCCAATTGGTGTATGAATGCAGTGTTTCCCCTACCATTATACAGGCGGGGGTGCCCCACCCCATCAACAAAACTGAGCACCCCGCCTACCAAACTTAACTTGCCCCTCCCACCCCCACCTGGCACTGACATATCACTAAGGTAGCAGCGCAAAATACAAGCTCTCTAGCTAAAAAGCCAAAGGCAGCACTCGCACTGCCTCTTCCCTCATGATGAACGCCCCCTGCCCCAGCTCAAAAACTTTTAGTACAAGCTACGCTCAGACATGTCTCCGTCCCCCCCATCAGCAAAAATCATGGATGAGATGAGCACCCCGCCATGGCAAGCTAACTAGGGGAAACACTGGAATGTGATGAAGCTCTGATTAGTCTCTACATAGGCAGAATATCTTTGTAGAGATGTAGTAGAGTGCAGAATGAATGTGTGTAAATGGACTGTACTTATACAGCACCTTTCTATCTTATCAAGATACTCAAAGTGTTTTACACAACAATCTGTGCCTCATTTACCCATTCATACAGCACTCTACTAGATCTCTACAAAGATAATTGAACAAATCATTCTAAAGAGACTAATCAGAGCTTTATCACATTCAAACACTGATGGGACACACATCAGAGGCAACGAGGGGTTCAGTGTCTTGCCCAGGGACACTTCGGCATGTGACTGCTGGTGGATTCGAACCCCCAACTCTTGTATTGGAGGACAACTGCTATAACTATTCAGTCACAGCTCCCCAGTAGTGTGTGTGTGTGTGTGTGTGCGCGCGCGCAAGCAGATTTGGCCCAGATACGTTATGATTTATAAAATATTTTATGTTAGTATATACAACTACAATGAACAAGACGGACAGTAACTGAAAAGGTCAGTTTCTACATTTTTAATAAACTATTGACATAATACCCACAGATGAAACGTAATGTCACGTTCTTTGAAGTACACCATCCTTCTCAACATGGTGGCATAAACACGCTACTACAGTTTGCGTTGGGGTTATTCCAGCGTTTCTCTATTTCAGTGGCTGTGATGTTATAAATTTTTTTTTTAATCATTTTTATTACTTTGCCTTTTTTCCCTCCTCTTGCGGCGTGTGGGTGAGCAGAAAGTTTTCTGTTAGAAAAGGCACACTGACTTGAAATGAAAGGTTAGGAAACAATGTAGCAAATTAGCAGCCTAGCTAAATTTACTAAAACTGTAACCAAAGGTAGATGTAGGGTAGACAAATGTTAAAAGGACAACAATTGCAAAAAGAGGCATAGGAAGACCAACTTTGCCTCCTCTTATCCTGTTGTCACTTATCTCTACTTTTCTTGTCCATTAAACCCAATGAATCAAATCAGCTACTTAGACTACAAGCATGTCTTAAAGACATAAAAACCTGGATGACCCTTAATTTTCTCCTGTTGAACAGACAAGACTGAGGTTTTGGTTTTTGGACGTGAGCACCTTAGGAATTAATTTTTCAGTCTTTCTCCCTCCTTAGATGCATTAATCTGTCCTCCAGCTCTAATGTTAAAAATCTTGGTGTTATTTTTGATCAGGACATGTCTTTTATCCCCCACATTAAAAACGTTACTAGAACCTCCTTCTTCCACCTGCGTAATATCACTAACATTAGAAACATCTGATCTAAAGATGATGCAGAAAAACTGGTCCATGCATTTGTCACGTCTAGACGACTATTGCAATGTTTTATTATCTGGGTGTCCAAATACTTCTTTAAAATGTCTTCAGTTGATCCAAAATGCTGCTGCCAGAGTCTTAACTGGAGTGACTGGGAGAGATCATATCTCTCCAGTTTTAGCTTCTCTCCATTGGCTCCCTGTCAAATCCAGAATAGAATTCAAAATCTTACTTCTAACCTACAAAGCTCTCAACCACCTAGCTCCATCTTATATTACAGATCTTATTGTTCCATATTTTCCTAACAGAGCACTTCACTCTCAGACTGCAGGTTTACTTGTGGTTCCTAGAGTTTACAAAAACAGAATGGGAGGCAGATCTTTCAGTTATCAGGCTCCTCTCTTGTGGAACCAACTTCCAATCTCTGTCCATGAGGCTAACACATTATCCAGTTTTAAAACTAGGCTTAAGACTTTCCTTTTTGCTAAATCCTATAGTTAGGGTCGGCTTGGGTTTCCTGAGCTGTCCCTTAGTTATGCTGCTATAGGCTTAGACTGCTGGAGGACAAACTGACCACAATTTTCACTCTGCTGCTGTCTTTACTTACTCTGCTCAACCTGTTTTGTATTTGTAATTATTGTTTCTATCCTTAACATGAGTTTTTTGTCTTTCATACACCTGAACCTGGACCTACACCTGGACCTACCATTCTGTGTTCGTCTGTCTCTCCTTCCTGTCCTCTCAAACCAGCCGGTCAAAGCAGATGGCCGCTTGTCCTGAGCTGGTTCTGCTGGAGGTTTCTTCCTTTTAAAAGGGAGTTTTTCTTTCCACTGTCTCCACTGTGCTTGCTCAGGATGGGAGACTGCAACGAAGCCAAGATTCATCTTGTCTGCTGGAATCCTTAGATAGAGAACTTTACTAATTGGCTTTTATGTGAATGTTCCTGTAAAGTGCCCTGAGACAACTTTGTTGTGATTTGGCGCTATATAAATAAATTGAATTTAATTTAATTGAATTGAATTCTTGTCTGTCTAAACAGGTCTTACTTGTAAATGAGTTCCTGAGGCTCAGTGTGATTAATCTGTATAAATAAAGGTTGAATGAATGAACTAAAGTGCATATGTCAAACAGAACAGTGTTTTCCGATGTACTAGTATGGGAGACTTTATTTTTATTTTTTAGTTAAATATATTCAAATATAGTACAAAAGTAAAAACAAGAACAAAAGTCATAGTCTACTCCTGATTGAGCTGAACATTTTGCTAGATTAAGGGCTAAAACAGCACAAAGTAATGAACTAAATGCTCACCTTAGATGGCTCATCTCGGATTGCTGCCACACGTCCTTTCTGAGGCCGTCTGAGGACGAGGGCACCACTGTAATGGTCTGAGTTCGTGTCCATCATGGAGGAAGCCGAGACTGGATATCTAAAATCTGGAGTGCTGCCCAACTGAGAACATCTGGATAAAAAACAATCCAACAATTGAAACAAATAAAACAATAGGAAAACCAAAAATGGCACATTACACGTCCGGCAACAAACTATTATACAGTAATGTAGCAATCTAAGGCAATGACAAGAAAAATTTTACATACGAACGGATGGAAGATTAATAATACTACAGTATGTCCACCTTTAAACTGGCACATTTAAAATTCAATTCAATTCAAAAATACTTTATTAATCCCAGAGGGAAATTAAATGTTGTAACTCATCATCCTGGTTTCATTAAAGAGTTGTTCTAGATGCTGATGGCTGTGGGCAGGAAGGATCTCTTGTAGCGTCTGTCCTACAACGGATTTGAAGAAGCCTCTGACTGAAGACACTCTGTTGTTGTATGACAGTCTGATGAAGAGGATGCTGAAGGTTGTCTATAATGTTCTTCATTTTATGAAGAATCCTTCTTTGAACAATCATCTCCAAAGTTTCTAGAGGAGTCCCCAGAACTGAGCCAGCCTTCTTTATGAGCTTGTTGATCTTTTTTAAGTCACTTGCTCTGGTGTTGCTCCCCCAGCAGATGATGGCAGAATAAATAGTGCTCTCTACAACAGACTTATAGAAGATATGCAGCATCTTGCTGTAAACACTGAAGGACTTCAGCTTCCTCAAGAAGTACAGTCTGTTCTGTCCCTTCTTGTAGACGCTTCACTGTTGCATTTCCAGTCCAGTCTGTTGTCCAGGTGAACTCCAAGGTATTTATACTTCTCCATCACCTCCACTTCTTCTCCCATGATGGAAATAGGGTTGGACCTGTTCCTATTTCTCCTGAAATCTACAATCATCTCCTTTGGTCACATTCAAGATGAGATGATTGTTTCCACACCATGCCACAAAGTGGTCCACCAGTTCCCTGTACTCAGCTTCTTGTCCAACTCTGATACACCCGACTACTGCAGAGTCATCTGAATATTTCTACAGATGACAGGAGTCTGTTTTATACTGGAAATCTGAGGTGTACAGAGTGAAAAGGAATGGTGAGAGTACAGTCCCCTGTCGTGCTCCTGAGCTACTGACAACCTGGTTAGACACACAACCCTTCAGTCTCACAAACTGTGGTCTGTCCGTCAGGTAGTCTTTGATCCAGGCGATTGTTGAGGCCTCCACCTGAGTCTTCTGGAGTTTCTGACAAAGCAAATCTGGCTGGATTGTGTTAAATGCACTGGAGAAATCAAAGATCATGACTCTCACAGTGCTGTCTGCCTTTTCTAGATGACAGTGAGTTTGCTGAAGCAGGTGTATGATGGCATCTTCAACTCCAAGTCCACGTTGATAAGCAAACTGCAGTGGGTCCTGATATGTGCTTGTTTGTCTAGTCAGGTGGGTCAGCAGAAGTCTCTCTAGGACCTTCATGATGTGGGATGTCAGGGCAACAGGTCTGTAGTCATTGAAGACTGATGGGTGAGTTTTCTTTGATACTGGAACAAGGCAGGATGTTTTCCACAACACTGGAACCTTCTCCTGGGTCAGGCTAAGGTTGAAGAGGTGCTGCAGGACCCCACAGAGCTGCTCTGCACAGACCTTCAGGACTCTGGGACTGACACCATCTGGACCTGCAGCCTTATTCCGGTTCAGTCTCTCCAGCTGCTTCCTCGCCTGACTTCTGGAGACGCAGAGGGGGGAGGCAAAGGAGGTATCAGCATCTTCTGATTTGGTTGAAGACCAACATGTAGAAGAAGAAGGGTCCATGACTGAGGTGGTAGATACAATATTTGAGGTGTGACAGGACAGCCTTGGGTCAATGGAGGGTGGTATGTATGTTTGGCTGTGGGCAAGAGAGGAGGATGCTGAGCTTGTTCCTAAACTGAACCTAATGAAGAATGTGTTCAGTTCATTGGCTCTGTCCAGGCTTCCATCCTTCTGATCCTCCTCCTGCTTGAAGCCTGTGATCTGTTTCATCCCTGACCACACCTCTCTGATATTGTTCTGTTGGAGTTTGCTCTCCAGCTTCTTCTTGTACACCTCCTTGGTGTTTCTTATCTTGACTTTTAGTTGCTTCTGTGTGCTCCTCAATAATTCCCTGTCTCCCTCCCTGAAGGCTCTTTTTTTCTGGTTTAGCAGTTCCTTCAGGTCAGTGGTAATCCAGGGTTTGTTAATGGGGAAGCATCTCACTGTTCTGGTGAGGATGGTGTTGTTTACACACAAGTTTATATAGTCACGTCACACACTCAGTCATGGCATTGATGTCCTCTCCATGTGGCTGGCACAGTGCATCCCAGTCTGTAGCCTCAAAACAACCCCGCAGGGCTTTTTCAGCTTCCGCTGACCATTTTCTCACTGTTCTCTTTATTGCAGGTTGTCTCTGAACAAGGGGTTTATATTTTGAGCAGAGAAACACAAGATTGTGATCTGATTTGCCAAGAGGGGGTCTTGCTTTAGCAATGTTTAAATCCTTGACATTTGCATAAAACAAGTCCAGCGTTTTGTTCTCTCTGGTAGAGCAGCTGACAAACTGTTGGAATGTCGGAAGTGTAGCAGAGAGTGAGACATGATTAAAATCACCAGATATTACAACAAACGCACTAGGGTCTTGTGTCTGTAGCTTAGCAACTTCGGAGCTGATGACATCATATGCAGTTTCAGCAACAGCATTGGGTGGAATGTAAATAGTTGCCAAAATAACACTGGTGAACTCTCTTGGCAAATAATATGGACGACAACTTAGTGCTAACAGTTCAATATCTGGACTGCAGAGACGACACTTCACAGTAACATGTCCAGGATTACACCATCTGTTGTTCACAAGCACTGCCAACCCACCTCCTTTCCTTTTGCCACTCCTCTTTAAATCTCTATCTGCTCATATGGTCAGAAAGCCTGGCAGAGAAACGCTGGCGTCGGGGATATGATCCTGCAGCCATGTCTCAGTGAAACACACAACACTGCATTCCTGATACTTTGGACGGGTCCTTGTTAAAAGAGCTTGAAGTTCATCCAACTTGTTTCCCAGCAATCTCACATTGCCCATCATGATCAATGGAAGAGATGGTTTGAACTTCATTCTTCTCTCTTTCTCCCTCTTCTTTGCTCCTGCTCTGCATCCACGACGCCTCCTTTTCAACTCATTTGGGATTTGGGGCTGTAGTTGAGATATTATTTGAGCTTTGGAGAGGTTAATAAGCTGCTCCCGGTTGTTAAAAAATACCTTGTTGCCATGGTTACGCATCATAACAAATGTCCAAAAGTAAAGATATTTCGGTAAAAATCCTTCCAGCTGCACAGCATCCGACACCAGAGGAAATAATCATGAAAAAAAGCAATTTATATCAAGAAAAAGAGGAATTAAAGTTTTCAAAAGTAATATCTTAGAAGTAACAGAGCTACTCCAACATGCAGCCACCTTGAGCGGCGCAATTCCAGAATCTCAAGAACTTCTCAAAAACAAGCCAAAGCTATTAGTCAGCAGCTTACCCATGCAGCAAGTTACTCCTACTCCTGTCCTGCTCATTTTCTGCCCTCATTGTCTCAATCTGGATTAAGAGCTGCTCCTACAGAAAAATATATGTACAGACATTTTCATGTGGCAGAAAAAATAAAGTTTGCATTTTGAAAGAAATACAAAAAAATGATAACATCCCAGTTAGATTAAATAAATAAAATCTAAGAAAGAGGTCATTGTCAGGGTTCCCAGCAGTTCATGAAAACACAATTCCCTGCATTTTCCATGATTTTTTTTTCCTGAGAAATCCTGAAATTCCTGGAGATCTTTCAGTCACACCAAACTTAACATCTTAGGTGGTGGGTGGAGTCACATTCAAAGATGATGGTAAGGTATGTTGTAATTTACTGTACTTGCATATGGCAATTGTTCCAAATAATTAATTATACTGTCTAACATCAGAAACTAAAACACCAACATAGCCAATCAGTAAGGACCAGTGGCCCTAGCCAATTTGGCACCCTAGGCATTATTTTAGGTGGCACCCCACTTAATTTTCTAAAACTCACTGCCAGTTTACATGCACCAGTTTACATTTAAACTAAATTAGAAACCAGATTAAAACTGGTAACAATATAATGAATATAAAACGGAATATCTAAAGCCTCGATCATACCTGCCAACATTTGCTGATGGCCAAGAGGGACATGTATATGTATTAGTGAGCACCTGCCTAGTGAGCAGTCCTTGGGGGATCCGAGGGCATGTCCCAGACAGACACATTTTTATTAATCTACTCAAAACTATAAACTCTCCGGCCATTTCAATTGCATTGTGCTAAATTCTAAGGACTAATAAAACAATTAAACTTAGTGAGGGTAGTACACTGACAGCTGGCCTTTAAGCTGAACTTTACCTCTTTTTTTCCACAGTGTACATGTGTACACACCCAGATAGTGATGCACACAGAGCAGGTACAATTTAAGTAGTGGAGGAGGAGGGTGCTAGCTAAGCAAAGTATTGGAATTAACAGTATCCATATTCAATATTCGGGCAGCACGGTGGCGCAACTGGTAGAGCTGCTGCCTCTCAGCGAGCAGGTCCCTGGTTCAAACCCCGGTCCAGGGGCCTTTCTGGGTGGAGTTTGCATGTTCTCTCCGTGCATGCGTGGGTTTTCTCCGGGTACTCCGGTTTCCTCCCACAGACCAAAAACATGCATGTTAGGCTGATTGGTAACTCTAAATTGTCCCTAGGTGTGAGTGAGAGAGTGAATGGTTGTTTGTCTCGTTTGTCTCTATGTGTCCCTGTGATGGACTTGCGACCCGTCCAGGGTGTCCCCCGCCCCTCGCACAGTGATTGCTGGACATGGGCACTGGCGACCCCCGTGACCCAAAATGGAATAAGCAGGTAAAGATAATGGATATTCAATATGCAGCTTAAATTGTTTTTTCATATTAGGACATAATATTACCTGTTAGTTTTAGTAAAAGAAAGTTACCGTACTTTCTGGTGCATGAGCCACTATTTTTATCACAGGCACTGAACACTGAACACATCGGCGTATACAATGCTGCAGCTAATTTATGGAATTTGTTTTTGACAGACTTGCTTCTTGCTGCCAAAACATTTTGCTTCGTCACACCCGGGCGCTCACAGAGCTGCCCAATACACTGGGGGTGGGTCCTCATGACTCAATGAGACTACCTGTATAAATAAAGGTAAAAACAAAATCTGACCAATGAAATTAATGAACAGGTCACAGTTGAACCAATGAAACGGGGAGAGGAGGAGCAAACAGGGAGGGGGATTCTAGTTTTACTGGGATTCACTTTCACAATTCTGCATGTGCAGAGCATGTGAGCCTCACATGCTCACAGAGCAACTTTCGCTCTGGGGAGCAGGAGGACAGCTTAAAGACAGCAATCGATGACTTCCTGGTAGGCTACTGTATTTTTATTTTTAACCAGCCGTGTTAATGGCACCGTTCAGAAAAAAACATTTACTGCATGTATTTGTGTATGTTAGCGGTATGTACTGTTGCATTCTGTGGTTCACTGTGGTTGACTGCTGGTCACATGGCCTCAGAGAGGGATTATGGGTAAAATTTATACTCCTTGTTAATTCAACAAAGTTAAGTTGGGTCCTCTGGACGGTTTCTTTTTGTTGAAATGTTTCATCTTTCATCCAAAAGACTTCATCAGTCTGAGGAGCCAGAACAAATTCAGTCTTATAGTCTTTTGGATGAAAAAAAGAGGAGGAGAGAGCAGGTGAAAGATGAAATGAATGGAAAAAAAGTCTTTCATCTTTTGGAGGACCTGACTTAAGTTTGTTGGGATTTTTTACCTGGATTATTGAGAACACAATTTGATATTCATTGTTAATCATTTCAGTTAGCTGTTTATCACTGTTCTTGTAGTGATTAGTGTGTTCTTCTTTGTTCATGTGATAATTATGTGTTAGTTTGTGTTAGTAACCAGTAACCAGTGAGGGAGGTAGTTGTGTCATGAAGACCTGTAGGCTTCACTCTGTCTGTGTGTTGAACAGGAAGACAAAGTCTATAAAACATCATCTGGTGATTGATTCTTGATCTACAAGAGCTGGACATCTGTCAGTGGCTGTGAGCTGCCACTACTGTTACAACGTGAACAACCGCGGCTTATACACAAGCGCAACTTATGTGTGTATGAATCATGTTTTATTTAGTGTGCGCGGCTTATATGGACTTATAGAGCTTGTTGATACTATAATACGAGTATTAATACATGTACATGTTAAACTCTAAGGAAGATCCTCTTTAAACCACTGGGTCAGAGTTCAAATTCCCCGAGTTTTCCCGGTCTGAAAAATGTGAAAGTCTTTTTCCAGGTTTCCCCTGATTTCCGGAGTCGCTGGGAACCCTGAAAGTCTTCTGGACTACTGACATAAGAAGGAAATTGTTTCAAACACTCCTTTACCTTCTCATGATGAGATTCTTCAATCAACTTCTTTGTGTGTTCCAGTTCTTTTATCAGAGCGTTCTGGAGAGAGAAAAAAACACTCCTGACACTTTCGCATTGAGACGAGCTTCCATTGACACATCTAGAATTTAAAACTGCACAGAGAAACAGGTTAAATAAAGGGTAATCTAAATAAATTGAGTTTGCAAAACAAAACATGCATACCCTCTGGAAGGTGTTTTACCTGGTTTTACCTTTATGTATTTTGTCTTCTACTATGGATTTCTAAAATTTTAATCTTCAATTAACTTTTTATTTTATTCTTGTTTTTAAATCTGTATAACTTTGCTTTCTTCTTTTGGCTTTTCTCTCTGCAGGGGTCGCCACAGCGAGTCATCCTCCATCTTTCTCCGTCCTCACTCCAACTACCTCCATGTCCTCTCTAACTGCATCCATATGTCTCCTCTTTGTCTTTTTCCTGCAGCTGCATTTCTATCATCCTTCTAGCAACATAATGGTATCGGCACAATCACAAAAAAGGGTTAAATCATGTCATCTGGACAGTTTCTTTTTAGGAGAAACTTTGCTAATTTGATGTAATTATTTTTATTTTAAACTACACAAACAGATGTCTGGTTAGTATGAACAAAATGTATTTTCAGATTATTAGCTAACAGAGACGTAGATGAAAGAGATCTGATGTTCAATAATCCACATTTAATGATTTTACTATTTTGTTCTGGTAAAGTAACTGTGTTTATTTTAATAAGATTTGTATGATTTATTTTTCTAGAGCTGATTTTTGGTTCATTTAATTTGGACCGTGGGTGAGCTGGCACAGTTTCAATGGGGGTTTGTGTGGGTAACAGACCATAAAGGCATTTAATAAAATGCACAACTGGAACACACAGCAATAAGGTAAGAACTATGTGAATCAACATAAAGAGTTTAAAATAGAGCTGTTGAAATTATCGCGTTAATTATTTGCGTTATTTTATTTATGTTTTACACGATAAAATAAATTAATACAACGATTAATTTGAAAAGCTCCCCCTTGGTGTTGCTGTACCTCACTTCCGGTTACTCAGCAAATCTAGCGATGGACAAAAAGGAAGACACGATATTAAATGGACAATTTCGCTTTAAGTTGTTACCAGATGGTGCTTTGGACAAAACCAAAGTAATTTGCATATATTGCAAAGGTGTATTTAATTATCACCGAAGCAATTCATCTCTCACATATCACCTGAGGGCGAAACATCCCGGTGTGGCAGCGACGTCAGAAGGAGCAGGTCTCCGACAGACAACGTTGCAACAGTTTGGAGTGAGAGGTGGGCCGCTGACTAAGGTAGCCACCAACAAAATAACGGAGGTTATTGCTCGTTGGGTTGCTAAAAACTGTCGACCTATAAATATTGTTGAGGATGCAGGGCTGAGGGATGTGATTCGGGAGGCGTCGGGGGACTCTGCTCATCAGCTACCTGCAAGGTCAACCATAATGTCCAGAATAGAGACGTTGTACAACAACCAGAAGGTGATTCAGCAAACTCTGTTAGAGCAAGCACCGTACGTCGCACTCACCTGCGACCATTGGACTTCTGCTAGCAATGATAGCTATCTGGGTGTCACGGCTCACTTTATTGATGACAACTGGTGCCTGCACTCCTTTGCTTTAACTGTGAGTAAATCTACCGAGCGCCACTATGCAGAGGCATGTGCGCAGCACATCCAGGCGGTCGCACAACAATGGAACATTGAGGAAAAATAACAACGCTCAGGACCTGACAGCAGCTGCAAGGCTCCTTCCATATAAGCACCTGCCTTGTACTGCTCACGCTCTGCAGAGAACAGTGTCACTGGGGGACAGTGGATTTGACGCTGTTTTAACCAAATGTCGAAAAATTGTTGGTCACTTCAAGCACAGCCCATCTAACGCTAGAGAGTTGAATCAACAGCAAGTTGCACATAAACAACAAGAAGAATCCCTGATTCAAGACGTGCCCACAAGATGGAACTCCACTTTACACATGATCCAAAGGATCCAACAAAATAAATCACCAATAGAGGCGACCCCGCCACAACAGAGCAGCAAAATTCCCCTGATTACAGACGCTGAGCTTGGAAAGATGAAGAAGTTGGAGGAGCTACTTGAGCCATGCAGGTACGTTTTTATTTCTGTTTCCTTCTATTATTTTACTTAAGTTGATATTAGTTAAGTCAATGGGTCAGTTAAACTGTGTAAAAAAAATAGACAAACTAATTATGTGTGTTTCTGCATATTTTAGAAGTAAAACAACAAATAATTAACAACAAATGATTATAGTTTAGTGTTTTCACAGGTATGTCACTGAAACTCTGGGTGGACAGAACTGCATCTCCTGTTCTGTGGTGCTGCCGCCTTCTGCCACATGTTCAGAGTCATGGAGCATCAGATGATCAGACTGTCAACATAGTGCGATTCAAAAAGGCCTTTTGTGAAGACCTGGCTCAACGAAAGGAGAACTCCAATCTCACTTGGCTCAAGAATGCTGCTGCACTTGATCCCAGGTTCAAGGACTTAAAATGCCTTCCTAAATCTGAGAGAGGAGAAGTGTGGAGTTCTTTAAACAACTTGCTCAAAGAGGGTAGAAATACCCAGATCCAAGGTGCTCAAACAACAGGGGAAGCACCACTAAAGAAGAGGAAGATGTCCGTCTTCTTGCTTGCATCATCTGATTCAGACACAGACGATGAGGCAGACTCCAGTTTATCTACACTGGACCGCTACAAATCAGAATCCAAACCTGACATGGACGAGTGCCCACTGCAGTGGTGGTCAAAAAGAAGAGACTCATACCCTGGAGTAGCACAAACTGCCTGCAAATATCTCTCCACACCTGCCACCACTGTACCTGTGAAAGACTGTTCTCCCTCTCAGGCCACATGGTTCAGAAAAAGAGAGCTGCTCTCTCTTCCAGTAATGTAGAGACACTGGTTTGTCTTAGTAGCTGGTTAAATGAAGAGTAGATCTGGTACATGTGCTTTAAAAACAAAGCAGAAATGTTCTGTAAGGTTCTAATTTGCAGTTCACACTAATTCATACTGTTCATCAAACGGTAAATGTTTTGAACCACAAAATGAATGTTTGCAATGCACTTTAGTTATGTGCTGTATTTTCTTTGCAAATTTTATTTTAAAGCTTTTAAACATTGTCAAAGTAAAAACAAAAAAAAGTAAATGACGTAATTGATGAATGAATCCATCTTTATTATAAGTTGCCTTGAAAAGTGTTTAATCACAATTAATCTCGATTAATTTTTAAACAGATTTACTATTAATTGCTTAATTTTTATTAATCGATCAACAGCCCTAGTTTAAAAAAATCTGTCCTGCATTTTTCTTTTATAATCAAAATTTGTTTGTACATAGGGACAGGACTTAAAAATTGTACTACAGCCAGCCTGCAGGGGGCGACTGTCAACTGTGGCTTCAATTTCTGTTTTCCAATACTTACTAGTCCAACACATGGTCCCTCGTTTAACGCGGGGGATCTGTACCCTGAAGCCCCGTGATAAGTGAAAAACAGCGAAGTAGGAATAGTAGTACAAGTAGTCAATAGTTTATTTTATATATATATATATATATATATATATATATATATATATATATATATAAAGGCGTTTTAAACCCTTCCCGCACTCTTGCAATATTCTAACAATGTTTGTAAACGCTCTAAAAGAGCACAGAATGACATGATTTCAGCTCCATGTCTCCTCTGCTCTCAGCCACATGCAGTGGCGGTTCCTTATATGGGCGACATGGGCGGCCTCCAGCAGGGGGCGGCATAACCACTATGAGGGATATAATCATGACTGTTTGGTGATGACACAATTGATAGTGTATTCTGAATAACAAAATTCGCACACTGTTAGTTTGCAGAGGACCAAGTCAAGTAAGAGCTAACTTTGTTTTTCCAAAGAACGAGGATGATGGTAGAAGTTGCCACCACCAGTATTTTTGGAAGACGTTAGTGGTGAAAAGATGCTTAGAAGCTGGTTGGTGTATTCGGGAAAAAACAACAGCCTTTTCTGCTTGTGTTGGAAGTTGTTTTCAAAAAGGAATACGGGGGGGGGGGTTTGCTCGCATAGGCTAGGACCGCCACTGGCCACATGTAAACACTCTTGGCCACGCCCACTTCTCTGCACAGAGAACAGCTGATCAGCTGCAGCAGGAAGGTTATTCTGCAGTATGCTGGTGAAGATTCTCAGTCATCCAGGACATGGTAATTCAAAAAAGTTCAAGACAAACACAACTGGACTTTATTTGTAACAGAAGACGTTTCACTTCTAATCTGAGAACCTTTCTCAAGTCAAAGAGCAGTGAGTGTGGGGTTCAAGTTATAAAGCTGAGGTAAGATACATACATCCATATGCAGACTGACCTATCAAACCTCACAGTAGGGGTTTGTTAAGGTCTTTGTTAAGCTAATTCACAGATGGGCCACCCTGGTCACCTGGATGACATTAATGCTAGGTGTGAAACTGGCTGGGTATCAGTCCTAAAGCTGCATTATAAGTTTTTGAAAGTTGAAATCTGAGACCTCCTCCTCTGTTTAAAGATGGTTTCTCTCTTTTTACAAAAATTGCTTCCTTCACACCCTCTCAAACCAGTACGCAGTATGGGCTGCACTAGGGCTGGGCCATATCTTATCGTTCACGATAATACCGGTAAAAAAAGCTTTCCCGGGAAAAAAATTATGCTAATTTCATGACATAATACGTCGGTGTTTCCCCTTATACAAGCGGGGCGCCACGCCCCGTTAACAGAACAGAGCGCGCCCAACTACAGAACCAAACTGCGCACCGCCCCATCCACCTGTCGGTACAGGTGTAACACTAATTAGCTGTGCGCAATACTAGCTAGCTAAAAATATACAACGCGCAGCTCAGCTGTGTCTCCACCCAGCTCTAAACTGCCGGTGCAGACAGTGCACAGCTCAGTTATCTCCCCCCCCCCCACCCCCACCCCGCTCTAAGCTGCCGGTACAAACGCAGCTCGGCTTTTATCTCTCCCCCCACCCCGCTCTCCTGTCGGTACAGGCGCAGCTCGGCTGTGTCTCTTGAGTTCCACAGTCGATGGACCAAGAACAGGGTCAGGTGATCAAAGACAAAGCATCAGAGAAATCGATCATTCCGGCAGGAACAGAGGAAGCTGAAACACCAGCACAAGTTCAGGGTCAGCTGAAGACACATAGTCACAAGTTTTGGAAGGGAAGACAAGAGCAGGTTTATGTACGTACAAAGACTATCATTATATGTCTGCCTTCGACAGGGAGATAAAAGGAATATTTCAGTCACCTTATCCTCCAGTGCAGACATCCTTTCTTTAAGGTGAAGCTGCAGCCTCTCGTTGGACTCGGACAGAAGTTTATCAACGGTCTCAGACAAACGCCTGTTATGCTCCTCATTCATCTTTTCTCGTTGCCGTGCCTACAAAAAGAAAGCATTTTAGTTTGCTGAATTTGTTACAAACCGGATTTCAAAACAGTTGGGACACTAAACAAATTGTGAATAAAAACTGAATGCAATGATGTGGAGGTGCCAACATCTAATATTTTATTCAGAATAGAACACAAATCACAGATCAAAAGTTTAAACTGAGAGAATGTATCATTTTAAGGGAAAAATCTGTTGTTTCCAAATTTCATGACGTCAACAAATCCCAAAAAAGTTGGGACAAGTCCATTTTTACCACGTGTGGCATCTCCCCTTCTTCTTACAACACTCAACAGACGTCTGGGGACAGAGGAGACCAGTTTCTCAAGTTTAGAAATAGGAATGCTCTCCCATTCATGTCTAATACAGGCCTCTAACTGTTCAATCGTCTTGGGCCTTCTTTGTCGCACCTTCCTCTTTATGATGTGCCAATTGTTCTCTATAGGTGAAAGATCTGGACTGCAGGCTGGCCATTTCAGTACCCGGATCCTTCTCCTACGTAGCCATGATGTTGTGATTGCTGCAGAATGTGGTCTGGCATTATCGTGTTGAAAAATGCAGGGTCTTCCCTGAAAGAGATGACGTCTAGATGGGAGCACATGTTGTTCTAGACCCTGAACATAGTTCTCTGCAATAATGGTGCCTTTCCAGACATGCAAGCTGCCCATGCCACAAGCGCTCATGCAACCCCATACCATCAGTGATGCAGGCTTCTGAACGGAGCGTTGATAACAACTTGGGCTATCCTTGTCCTCTCTGGTCCGGATGACATGGCGTCCCAGTGTTCCATAAAGAACTTCAAATCGTGACTCATCTGACCACAGAACAGTCTTCCATTTTGCCACACTCCATTTTAAATGACCCCTGGCCCAGTGCAAACGTCTGAGCTTGTGGAGCTTGCTTAGAAATGGCTTCTTCTTTGCACTGTAGAGTTTCAGCTGGCAACGGCGGATGGCACGGTGGATTGTGTTCACTGACAATGCTTTCTGGAAGTATTCCTGAGCCCATTCTGTTATTTCCTTGGCAGTGGCATTCCTGTTTGAGGTGCAGTGACGTTTAAGGGCCCGGAGATCACGAGCATCCAGTAGAGTTTTACGGCCTTGACCCTTACGCACAGCGATTGTTCCAGATTCTCTGAATCTTTTGATGATGTTATGCACGGTTGATGATGATAACTTAAAAGTCTTTGCTATTTTACGCTGGGTAGCACCATTCTGGTATTGCTGCACTCTCTTTCTGCGCAACAATGGTGGAATTGGTGATCCTCTTACCATCTTGGCTTCTGAGAGACACTGACACTCTGAGAAGCTCTTTTTATACCCAATCATGTTGTCAATTGACCTAATTAGTGTTAATTGGTCTTCCAGCTGTTCGTTATATGCTCAATTTCCTTTTTCCAGCCACTTATTGCTACTTGGCCCAACTTTTTTGGGATTTGTTGACACTATGAAATTATCAACATATGTTTCCTTTAAAATGTTACATTTACTCAGATAAACTTTTGATCTGTCATGTATGTTATATTACGAATAAAATATTGACATTTGCTATCTCCACATCATTGCATTCAGTTTTTATTCACAATTTGTTTAGTGTCCCAACTTTTTTGGAATCCGGTTTGTAAATATAACATCTACATAGGTGTAAGACATGTAAAAACAGGAACAGGTCAAAAACAGAAAATTTAACATCCGTTTATTAACATTCATCTCAGTTAAATGGACTGTACTTATATTGGGCGTTTCTATATAATGAAGATACTCACAAAGCGTTTTACAGTACAATCTGTGCCTCATTTACTCATTCATACAACACTCTACCTGATCTCTACATAGCTAATTGAACAAATCATTCTAAAGAGATCTCCTGATGCATGCTCAATAATCCAGGTAGAAAAATCTAAAAAAGTTCAATCTGGTCCTCTGGACATTCAAAAAAAAAAAGCAAAACAACAACAAAAAAAAGTAGAAACGTTTCGTCTTTCATCCGAGAGACTTCCTCAGTCTGAGGTGCTGTTTTCAGCTCAGTCTCTTAAATAGCACCTTCTCAGAGTGGATCAACCAGTTTTGCTGCTGACAACCAAAACCAGCTGATCACATGCTCAAGAAGGACCATCAGCCTAACAATGGGTCATTAGCACCTGATGGCTGTTTACTGTTCACAGAGGGCTGAGTGATACTAGCAATCACAGCATTGTAAGAGGGGAACAGTTGAACCCAGAGGCCTCCAGCCCTGTTTAATGGACGATTTCTTTTCACAAAGATGGACTCCTTTACTCCTCTCTCTGTTGGTCAGGCAGGTCTTGTTGTGCCATTAACACTAAAATAGTTATTGAGTCAAGTGTTTCTTATGTAGGTAAAACTAGATGTTTAACAACCCATTAAAATACACCAGAATGCAGGAAATGGCATCTACTTCATTAAAAAATTTCAGGGAGAAGACCCCCAGACTCCCCCCAACAGTGCCCCCCCCCCCCCCCCCCCCCCCCCCCCCCCCCACACACACACACATTACAAATATGCTTCTGATGCCAATGGCCACTGTGTTGCTAATCATCTTCCAGAGCAGGACCCTCACCCAGACCAAAGCAGGACTTTCACATATAATATACTACTCAATTCATGAACAACAAGATTATTGTCTTTTTCATTTGAAGTGGGCAAAATCACTTATATTAAAAGTGAACTAATGGAAATTGCTGTTGTAATTAGATTATTTTAATAAGCCATTTAACTTGCTATATCCCAGATTTTGAACAGGTGTGATACTGGTGTGTGAGCACAGCATGCACATCTGATGATGCTCACAGTGGTCCTCAGTGTGTTTGCCCAGACACATGAAAAATTAGAGGGAACATTGGTCACAGGTAAATACACCTGCGTCACAGGTACATGGAAACATGGTGTGAAATGCAAATGCCACTTGGTAAGGGCTTTAAGAATTAGATGAGAAAAATCCTATTTTGTGCAAACAAAAGATGTGCAATCCATTTAAGATTTCAGGCATCAGAGTGTAAAATACAACAATAAAATAAAAAACTAAGGTTTTCCATCGTTTCTCACCCTGAGCAGTTCCTGGTTCTTCTCCTCCAGTTGGGCCTCCAGCTGCCTCAGCCTCTCCTCCACGTTACCATGGCGTTCTTCTGCCTGGAAGCAGAGGGCAGCGATCAAAACTTCCATCTGATTTCTACAGTGAGAGTCTCAGGAGTTTATTGTGAAAGTGACAATAAACCAAGTTTTTTATATATGCAATGACTCACCAATGATTTCCCAACCTGATGGTTATTGATATAATGTATCAATAAACAAAATCTAGCGAGGTAGACTTAGGACTGTTAAATAGCTGGTATCTTGCATCAGGCACATATGGGATAACATACCCCTTCAAAAACTCTGAACAACTGGTCTCATCAGTTCCTGGTTTATTTAGACCAGTAGTGTCAAACTCACTTATAAAAGGGGGCCAAAATTAAAAACTTTTTCCAACTACGGGCCAATTTCAGAAACTACATTAACTCGAATCAGATACCCAGCATCTTTTCTTTGTCATGGGTTCCTCAACAAGAGTTTGATTGGTCTGATTTGATGTTCTGTGTTGTGCTTTCAACATCATAATCAAAGATTCCTGAAAAAATTCAAGAGATATTAGTATTTTTCATTTCACATATCATCTTGGGGGCCAGATAAGATATCAACAAGGGCCACATTTGGCCCCGAGGCCTTGAGTTTGACACATATGATATACACTCGTGACTACTGTTAATAGAGGAGGGGATGATTCACAATGAAAACATAGCCTGTTCCAATATTTTTGAGATTTGTTGCCGTCGTCAAATACATATTCAGATTATCCACCCTTTTTGGAGTCCTTAGAGGGGGTACTGGAAAGTGCACCTCCTGGGGACTCCCTTGTTCTACTGGGGGACTTCAATGCTCACGTGGGCAATGACAGTGAGACCTGGAGGGGTGTGGTTGATCTGAACCCGAGTGGTGTTCTGTCGTTGGACTTCTGTGCTCGTCATGGATTATCCAAAACAAACACCATGTTCAAGCATAAGGGTGTCCATATGTGCTCAGGACACCCTAGGCTGCAGTTAAATGATTAACTTTGTTGTCATCTCATCTGATCTGCGGCCACGTCTTGGACGCTCGGGTGAAGAGAGGGGCGGAACTGTCCACTGATCACTACCTGTTGATGAGTTGGCTCCGATGGTGGGGGAGGATGCCAGGCAGACCTGAGGGATGCTGTCAGGCTGAAGGAGGAGTCCTATAGGGCCTTTTTGGCCTGTGGGACCCCGAAAGCAGCTGATGGGTACCGGTAGTCCAAGTGACATGTGACTCGGGTGGTCGCTGAGGCAAAAACTCGGGCATGGGAGGAGTTCGGAGAGGCCATAGAGAATGACTTACGCACAGCTTCGAGACGATTCTGGTCCACCATCCGGCGTCTCGGGGGGGGAAAGCGGTACAACACAAAAACTATTTATAGTGGGGGTGATGTGCTGCTGACCTCAACTCGGGATGTCGTGGGTCAGTGGGCAGGATACTTTGAAGACTTCCTCAATCCCACCGGCATGTCTTCCACTGAGGAAGCAGAGCCTGGGAACTCTGGGTCGGGCCCTCCAATCTCTGGTGCTGAGGTCGCCAAGGTGGTTAAAAAGCTCCTCGGTGGAAGGGCCCCAAGGGTGGATGAGATTCGCCCAGAGTTCCTTAAGGCTCTGGATGTTGTAGGGTTGTGCTGGCTTACGTGACTCTGCAATATTGCATAGACATCGGGGGAAGTTCCCCTGGATTGGCAGACAGGGTGGTGGTCCCCCTACACAAAAAGGGGGACCGTAGAGTGTGTTCCAACTACAGAGGAATCACACTCTTAAGCCTCCCTGGTAAGGTCTATTTGGGGGTTCTGGAGAGGAGGGTCCGTCGGATAGTCGAACCTCGGATTCAGGAGGAGCAGTGCGGTTTTCGTCCTTGTCGTGGAACACTGGACCAGCTCTACATTCTCAGCAGGGTCCTGGAGGGTGCCTGAGAGTTTGCCCAACCGGTCTACATGTGCTTTGTGGACTTGGAGAAGGCATTCGACCGCATCCCTCGGGGAACCCTGTGGGGGGTACTCTGGGAGTACGGGGTACCAAGCACTTTGATACGAGCTGTTAGGTCTCTGTATGACCGGTGTCAGAGCCGGGTTCGCATTACCGGCAGTAAGTCGGGCTCGTTACCAGTGAGAGTTGGACTCCGCCAAGGTTGCCCTTTGTCACCGATTCTGTTCATAACTTTTATGGACAGAATTTCTAGGCGCAGCCAAGGTGTTGAGAGGATCCGTTTAGGTGGCCTTAGGATCGCGTCTCTGCTTTTTGCAGACGATGTGGTCCTATTGGCTTCATCAGATCGTGATCTACAGCTTTCGCTGGAGCAGTTCGCAGCCAAGTGCGACACAGCCGGGATGAAGATCAGTTCCTCCAAATCCGAGGCCATGGTCTTGAGCTGGAAAAGGGTAGAGTTTCCTCTCTGGGTCAGAGAGGTGGTCCTGCCCCAAGTGGAGGCGTTCAAGTATCTTGGGGTCTTGTTCACGAATGAGGGAAAAATGGAACGTGAGCTTGAAAGGTGGACAGGTGCAGCGTCTGCAGTGAAGTAGGCGCTATACAGGTCTGTCGTGGTCAAGAGAGAGCTGAGTCAAAAGGCGAAGCTCTCAATTTGCCAATCAATCTACGTTCCTACCCTCATCTATGGTCATGAGCTTTGGGTTGTGACCGAAAGAACGAGATCTCGGATACTAGCGACCGAAATGAGTTTTTTCCGCAGGGTGTTTGGGCTCTCCCTTAGAGATAGAATGAGAAGCTCGATCATCCGGGGGGGAATCAGACTAGAGCCGCTGCTTCTCCACATCGAGAGGAGCCTAATGAGGTGGCTCGGGCATCTGGTTAGGAAGCCTCCTGGACGCCTCCCTGGTGAGGTGTTCCAGAAATGTCCCACTGGGAGGAGACCCAGAGGAAGACCCAGGACACGCTGGAAGGACTATGTTTCTCGACTGGCCTGGGAACGCCTCGGGATTCCCCCGGAGGAGCTGGCCCAAGTGGCTGGGGAGAGGGAAGTCTGGGCCTCCCTACTTAGGGTGCTATCCCCGCAACCTGACCCCCGATAAGCGGAAGAAAATGGATGGATGGATGTGTATATATATATATATATATATATATATATATATATATATATATATTTAAATATACACAGGTCCTTCTCAAAAAATTAGAATATTGTGATAAAGGTCATTATTTTAAATAATGTAATTATAAAAATGAAACTTTCATATATTTCAGATTCATTGCACACCAGCTGAAATATTTCAGGTCTTTAATTGTTTTAATACTGATGATTATGGCATACAGCTCATGAAAACCCAAAATGCCTGTCCCAAAAAATTAGCATTTCATGAAAAGGTTCTCTAAACAAGCTATTAACCTAACCATCTGAATCAACGACATAACTCTAAACACCTGCAAAAGATTCCTGAGGCTTTTAAAAACTCCCAGTCTTGTTCATTACTCAAAACCACAATAATGGGTAAGACTGCCGACCTGACTGCTGTCCAGAAGGCCATCATTGACATCCTCAAGCAAGAGGGTAAGACACAGAAAGAAACTGCTGAATGAATAGGCTGTTCCCAGAGTGCTGTATCAAGGCACCTCAGTGGGAAGTCTGTGGGAAGGGAAAAGTGTGGCAGAAAACACTGCACAACGAGAAGAGGTGACCGGACCCTGAGGAGGATTGTGGAGAAGGGCCGATTCCAGACCTTGGGGGACCTGCGGAAGCAGTGGACTGAGTCTGGAGTAGAAACATCCAGAGCCACCGTGCACAGGTGTGTGCAGGAAATGGGCTACAGTTGCCACATTCCCCAGGTCAAGCCACCTTTGAACCAGAAACAGCGGCAGAAGCGCCTGACCTGACAAAAGTACTTTTTTCGGATGAAAGCAAATTTTGCATGTCATTCGGAAATCAAGGTGCCAGAGTCTGGAGGAAGACTGGGGAGAAGGAAATGCCAAAATGCCAGAAGTCCAGTGTGAAGCACCCACAGTCAGTGATGGTCTGGGGTACCATGTCAGCTGCTGGTGTTGGTCCACCACTAGTTTCCCCTACCAAACACCTAGTTATTGCTTTCTGAAAGTTTAATTATTATTTGTTCAGTGGTTCATTAGATATTTTGCTAACAGACAAACGGTTGATTCCAACAGGTAAAGGTTAAAAAGCACATGCACTGAATACCACTTAGAGGTATGTCTTTTAAGGATTCTGCTACTCCACTACCAAATTTTAACACATCTGTAAAAGTGACTGAACTATCACCATGACGTTTTCTAAAGTCACTTGGCTGCGGCAACTGAAATGAACTGAATTAAAGGGTGGCACGGTGAATCAGAGGGTAGAAGTGCAGCCTCTCGGCGAGAAGGTCGCCAGTTCAAATCCCAGTCTGGGACATTTCTGGGTGGAGTTCGCATGTTCTCTGGGTGCATATGTGGGTTTTCTCCAGGTACTGTGGTTTCCTTCCACAGACCAAAAACATGCATGTTAGACTGATTGGCAACTCTAAATTGTCCCTAGGTGAAAGAGAGTGAATGGTTGTCTTGTTTGTCTCTATGTGTCCCTGTGATGGACTGGAGACCTGTTCAGGGTGTCGCCCGCCTCTCTCACAGTGATGGCTGAACATGGACACCAGTGACCCCCACAACCCGAAAAGGGAGAAGCGGGTTAAGATGATGGTTTACTCCAAATAGTGACAAAGTAGAGTATGTGTTGAAAATCAGTCACAACAGAATATTTTCTGTAGTCAGCAAGTCAGTCAAGATGACTGCCACAGCCAACTGACTGCAAAACACACACACACGAACCCATGCACGCACACACACACTGGATTATAATTCCATCCGTTTTACAAATGTTTAGCTCAAATTTGGTGTGCTAATAGCTGAGACTGTTTGCAAAGTAACTTCTGAACCACAGAATGGTAAGAACATTGGAAACGGTTCGTGTTTTAAATGTGCTATACAAATAAATTTGACTTGACTGAATGAGTTTAATAAAATCTGAAAATAGTCATTAATAGACGTGCAGTGTTTCTCCTAGTTTACTTGCCTTGGCAGGACACATATCTTTCATGATTTTTGTCAAGAGGGGGTGGTGTGGAGACAGCTCAGCGTAAGTGATGCAGAGCGCTATCTCTGTAGCTTTTTAGCTAGCGCGTCTGTATTGTGCGCTGCTAGCTTAGCGCTACGTCAGTGGTGGCAGTTCAATAGACAGGGTGCTCAGTTCTGTTGACAGGGCGGGGCGCCCTGCTTGTATAATGGTAGGGGAAACAGTGCAGTCAGACACATACATAAACAAATGCAGACTGGAAATAAAAAACTGTCCAGCTTCACCTTACAGAGGTGGGAAATATTGAAAGTTTTGAAAAAATTCTCAAAGCATTTTAAAGAAACAGGTGATAAAGAACAGCTGGCAGGAGGCAGATATTTGTACCTTTGTGAGGGCGGCAACCCTTTGCGCCAACTCAGCTTCAACTTCAGGAAGACTTTCTGCTTTACGGATGGTCTGCTGCAGCTTCTGCTCAGCCAGTTCCAGCTTCTCCTGAAGCTGCCGATTTCTCTCCTCAGACTACAACAAACAATTCAACAAGATGAAAAGAAAGGAAGGAAGACCAACAGGCAGGGGGAAAGAGGGACACAAAGTAATGATGGGTGGGCAGAAAGTCAAGAGGTCAGTCAAAATCTCACAAAGGCAGATTAAAAAACTAAATGCAAAGCAGGAAGATGTCTCCTTGTCCACTGTCTACATGAAAAGAATCCAGCCAGTGTGTTCAAGGTTTCCTATCCAGTTTGGACACAACAAGAATTCACTGGCTGCATTCTGGGAACAATGGAGCCTGATAGGGATAAAAGAAAAATACATTTAAAGTGGTAAGAACCAACTCCTCTTTAATAAACTGTGCACAGACTTCAATGTAAAACTGGATAGACTCCATGAGAAGAGAAACAAAATCTGCTCTCTCAAGCAGTTGCGAGACCAAAATGACAATTTTGGTCTCCTAGGCGCGCCGAGAGCCTGATGTAGACACAAGATCTGGGCAGAACTTTTTCTCTTGGGGGGTTTGTGTCAACTCTTGTGTGACTGGCCAGAAATGTGAAGTGGGGGAAGTTAATTTGGCCATAATGCTCCATGAGTTGCTCAAGAATAAGAGAGGACCCATTCACAGTAGGGAGTATTAAGTGCTAGGAGCTAACATTTGCTTCTGGGATGGCAATGATTGCTAATCTCTCCTAGGCAGAGGCCGGCATGATGTCCGCTGAACGCACAGCGAGACTCGACTATCGTCATCTTGAAAAAGAATGTCCTCCTCCTACTCTTCAATGGAACAACTTCCATCATTGTGATTGTCAGAGTTGTAACAACAGGAATCACTGACACGTTTCTAATTTTAATTTAATTTGACATTGAAAGGACATATGATTCATAAATCTCTGGTGTAATTTAGGTAAAGACAACTGAATTGATATCAGTGAATATTACAGCTTTAATTTGTTGGAGGTCCCTAAACCTTCATCTCACTCAAGGTGTCACATTTCCTTCCATTTCCTCGTCCACACTGAAAACAAAACACCCGCTGCCAAAGATTTTGCGAAAGCTAAACTAAACTGAAAAGATGAATTATAAATCCATGCACAGTATTTATAAACTGAAGGGCCAAATTATTGTGACCTTTTATTGATGAAGAAAACAGAGATCTGCAGTGTGCTGCTTGCTGAAAAGCACCTCAACATGCCTGGGTTTGACTGTACAGACACATAAAAAAAAAACCTTGGTTTGTCGCATCAACAATGTTAAGAGCAGGAACCTACTTGTCTGTAGAGGGACTCCTTATTGGCCACTTCGTTCTCTAGCTTGTCATTCAGGTCATGGACTGAAGTAGCTTCACGTTGAGCTGCAAGGTAGCGTCTTTCCAAGGTGGTGATCCTCTCCTCCATGTCTTCCTTCTGAGCCATAGACTGTTAACCAAAAACCTTTAAGTCTCTAAAGTACCACACATGGAATCAATCCATTTTATTTAAGAAACTGCTCTCACCTCTCTGAGGTCCCTCTGTAGCCTTGTGTTCATGTCTTCAGACTTAATGAGGTCCTTTCGGGCTGTGTCCAGGTTCTCTTCCAGCTCACTGATGCGTGACACCATGACAGACATGCTCTCCTTTAGCTGTCCCAGATCAGCAGTCTGTCGGTCCACCACCTCCTGGAGCTCACCAGTTTTCCCAAAGCCAGGACCAGACTCCTCCTCCTGACTCAGTGAGTCATCCGATGACCTCTGAGGACACATCAACGTACACGTTTCAGCCAATGCACACCAGACAAACAGAAAATCTGAGTATCTGACGTGTTTCAAGCTCTGGGTTTGATATCTGTGTTTCTCCTACCATTAGGCAAGCAGGACGCCCCGCCCAGCCTACCGACCCCCCAACCCAACAGTTGTCAGCATCGTTGTAGCGTGGTGCACAATACAACCACGCTAGCAAATCTGCTACTGACGTACCGCTCCACTTCTCCTGCCACGGCAACAAATGCTGGCAGCAACGTAGCGCTAAGCTAGTATGCAACACAGACGAGACTCCGTCCCGTACTACTACCCCCCCCCCTCCCTCCAGTCGACAAAAAAAAGATGTGCGCCCTGCCAAGGGAACTGTTCTAGAGGAAACACTGGATACCATTCAATGAATTAACATTTTTCTTCTTTCGGCTGCTCTTCTTCGGGGTGGCCACAACAAACTAACTCGAGTGGCAATTGTTTTTAAGCAGGATGACCTTCCTGATGCAACCACCGAGCTACCACAGCCCTTTGTGTGGAGCAGAGAGCTGGCATCTAGGGTGCCTGGGGGAGCAGATGGTGGGGGTTAAGGGCCTTGCTCAAGGGCCCAGAGTTAGAACTATCATTTCTAACCCGAACCTGGAGCCCCGCCCCGCCCGCCCAACCCGGATTCGGACCAGGCCATAATAATGTGCTTAATGTGCGGGCCGGGTCGGTGTCGAGCTTTTTATTGCATCACGGACGCGCACGGCCGACAATCCAATTATATGCCGACATGGCTTGCCAAACTGCACCTGCCGTACATGGCCATTTGAACGCGCGCTGACCAGCCAGTTGAAAGAGGTAAAAAGTTAAGTTAAGCTTCAGATAGACTACTGCCAGCGATCCATCATCCCAAACGGCCGTTCATTAAGCTGCGGAACGCTCTGAACGGGTTCAGAGCTGATGGCTAAGGGCTGAGGCCGTGTCGGATCAGATGTGGCTGCACAAAAGCCTGTTGGGAGTCAGACTCCACTGGCCTGGAGATGAGTGTAGACCGCAGAGTCCTGACCTGATGATGTTGATCTTCTGCGTTTAAACCCAAAAATACATTATGGCAAAGACTGGTTCATCCCAAAGATCCAGTCTCCCGGCACAGAGTAATATTGTGTATGCTGTTCAGTGTCAGGAGGGCTGTGATCAGTCTTACATCGGAGAAACTAAACAGCCACTGGCCAAAATGATGGCCCAGAGCAGAAGAGAAACTTCATCAGGCCAGGATTCTGCGGTCTACACTCATCTCCAGGCCAGCGGTCACTCTTTCAAGGATGAAGATGTTCACATCCTGGACAGAGAGGAACGATGGTTTGAGAGAGGAGTAAAGGAGGCCATCTTTGTGAAAAGAAATCGTCCATCATTAAACAGGGGTGGAGCCTCCGGGTTCAATTGTCCCCCTCTTACAATGCTGTGATTGCTAGTATCACTCAGCCCTCTGTGAACAGTAAACAGCCATCAGGTGCTAATGACCCATTGTTAGGCTGATGGTCCTTCTTGAGCATGTGATCAGCTGGTTTTGGTTGTCAGCAGCAAACTGGTTGATCCACTCTGAGAAGGTGCTATTTAAGAGACTGAGCTGAAAACAGCACCTCAGACTGAGGAAGTCTCTTGGATGAGAGACGAAATGTTTCTACATTTTTTTTTTTTTTTTTTTTAATGTCCAGAGGACCAGATTGAACTTTTTTGGATTAGACCATGGTGTTGTCATTATTGTTTTTCAAATGTTTACAATGGTTCCAGTCGCTCATCGAGTTCGAACACTGGTAAATACAAATGGTGGATCGAATTTTGTGAAATTTCTCCAACAACCAGTGACCCGTGTGGGCTGATTTCTCCACAGTATTCTAATTTTTTGAAATCCTGTTTTCGTGGGTTTCATGAGCTGGAAGTCCAAATTATGTAAAAATAAACAAATAAATACTTGAAATTGTTTAAATTGTGGGCCCTGAATCTTTAAATTATGGAAGTTAAACAACCATGATATTCTAATTTTTTGGAAAGGGTCTCTTGTTAAAAAACCTGAAACTTGCAGAAATAAGCTGAAAGTAGCAGAAACAAGTTAGAAGAAGCACAAAGCAGCTGAAAAATGTTTAAATTTGCACAGGAAAGCAGAAAGAAGCTGAAGCAGAACAAAACGTGAAAGGAGCAGTAAACGGTTGTTAACAGATGTAAAGATATGAAAGATGTAAAATGAGCTCAATTCATTTTCTATGAAAAAAATGGCAGAAAAAGCTAAATATTTCAAAAGCTAAAGTTGCACCAAAAGTCATAGCAGAATAGTCCTGGAAGAGCTGAACATTTTGATTTATGATTTGTGGAAATAGCTGAAAACTGCGGGACGAGAATCGTGCTGAAAAATGTACGAAAGAAAAATTGATCACAAAAGTGTGAATGACTCATGAACATTCACGCAACAACACATTTTTCCACATATTTGTACCAAGTAATATTCATTAGTTGAGCATGATTTTCATTGAGTGAGTGAAAGAAGCCTTGATCAAAGTGAGAGTGATCACCTTGCCGTTAGTACTCGGTGTGTTTTCAAAGTTGTGGTTGACTTCGCTGGTCCCGTCTGCCAGCCCTCTCTTCTGAATGCTCTGTTCCCTGAGGTAAGAAAGCTGCAGACAACATGACACTATGAACAACACATTTACATTTTTACTTGTTTGGTCCTGAGTACACATGCACTTCACTTCTAACACTTTCAATTTGTTTTTAAATCCATTTACCCATAAAATGTCACATGGTATAGAACTTAAAGTCTTGTTTCTTTATCTGTGCCAAGAAAATTAGAAAAAGATGTGTGCTTTTACTGAAACAACAAGAAAAAAAGGAAATAAAGAAGAATAACAATATGTATAGCTATATTGTTAAATCTTCATGCGAGGTCACTTCCTGTGGCGCCCCTGACGAAGGGAGCAGCCGAAAGTAAAAACTTTACAGAATTTAGTTTTAATGAAGTTTACGGTCAATATTTGGTGTGACCACATTTATTCTTCAACACAGACTGAAGTCTTTTGGAAGAGTGTTTTATTTTTTTCTTACATGACTGCCCACAGCCAAAAGAAGAAAAACTAGCAAGATATCGGGAAGAGAATGGTCAACCTCCACCGTTACTGAGTCCTTTAAACATAAGAAAACCATCATGCCTCGGTAGGTACTCCAGCTGAAATAATCCATACAGTGAGGAAACTACACAAGTATTTGAACACCCTGCGACTTTGCAAGTTCTCCCACGTAGAAATCATGGAGGGTCTGAAATGTTCATCTTAGGTGCATGTCCACTGTGAGAGACATAATATATAAAAAAAAATCAGGAAATCACAATGTATGATTTTTTTAATAATTCATTTGTGTGTTCCTGCTGCAAATAAGTATTTGAACACCTGCCAATCAGCAACAGTTCTGGCCCTCAAAGACCTGTTCGTCCTCCTCTATAACGTCCACCTCCACTCCACTTATTATTCTAAATTAGAAGCACCTGTTTGAGGTGGTTAGCTGCATAAAGACACCTGTCCACCCCACACAATCAGTAAGACTCCAACTACTAACATGACTAAGACCAAAGAGCTGTCCAAAGACACCAGAGACAAAATTGTAGACCTCCACAAGGCTGGAAAGAGCTACGAGGCAATTACAAGCAGCTTGGTGAAAAAACATCAACTGTGTGAGCAATTATTAGAAAATGGAAGAAGCTAAACATGACTGTCAATCTCCCTCGGACTGGGGCTCCATGCAAGATCTCACCTCGTGGCGTATCAATGATCCTAAGAAAGGTGAGGAATCAGCCCAAAACTACACGGGAGGAGCTGGTCAATGACCTGAAGAGAGCTGGCACCACTGTTTCCATGGTTACTGTGGGTAATACACTAAGACGTCATAGTTTAAAATCATGCATGGCACAGAAGGTTCCCCTGCTTCAATCAGCACACGTCCAGGCCCGTCTTAAGTTTGACCATGACCATTTGGATGATCCAGAGGAGTCATGGGAGAAAGTTATGTGGTCAGATGAGACCAAAATATAACTTTTTGGTCTTAATTCCACTCACGGTGTTTGGAGGACGAAGAATGATGAGTACCATCCCAAAAACACCATCCCTACTTTGAAGCATGGGGGTGGAAGCATCATGCTTTACAGGTGTTTTCTGCACATGGGACAGGACAACTGCACTGTATTAAGGAGAGGATGACCGGGGCCATTTATTGAAAGATTTTGTGGAACAACCTCCTTCCCTCAGTTAGATCATTGAAGATGAGTCATGGCTGGGTCTTCCAACATGACAATGACCCAAAGCACACAGCCAGGAGAACCAAGGAGTGGCTCCATAAGAAGCATATCAAGGTTCTGGAGTGGTCTAGCCAGTCTCCAGACCTAAACCCTATAGAAAATCTTTGGAGGGAGCTCAAACTCCATGTTTCTCAGAGACAGCCCAGAAACCTGGTGATCTAGAGAAGATCTGTGGAGGAATGGTCCAAAATCCTGCTGCAGTAAACCTGATGAAACACTACAGGAAACGTTTGACCTCTGTAACTGCAAACAAAGATACTGTACCAAATATTAACATTGATTTTCACAGGTGTTCAAATACTTATTTGCAGCAGTAACACACAAATAAATTATTAAAAAATCATACATGGTGATTTCTAGATTTATTTATTTTTTTATATCATGTCTCTCACAGTGGACATGCAGCTAAGATGAACATTTCAGACCCTCCATGATGTCTAAGTGGGAAAACTTGCAAAGTCACAGGGTGTTCAAATACTTAGTTCCTCACTGTGTCTTGGCAGATTTGAACTCAAACAATTCCTAGTCCTAAGTTAAAAAAAAAAATAATCCATTAAATTCCACTTCATCAATAAGCAACAAAAATAATTTGGTTTTTGCCCTTTATTAATTAGCAACACTGGTCTTTTTAGATGTCTGAGCAAGTGGAGGCAAGGAGACGAGGCTGCAAAGCTGCTGCACTTCAATGCATCCAGCAGAGCCCGGAGCCCAACTACAACTGTTCTTTTATTATTATCATTATTACTATTATTATTATTATTATTAAGTGAACGATGATGAGAACGATGAAGACGACAATTATTTTTCATTCAACCTTTATTTAGACAGATAAATCCCATTGAGCCTCGAGGACTCATTTACAAGAGAGCCCTGAAACTTATTATTATTATTATTATTATTATTATTATTATTATTATTATTATT